AAGAAACAGAACAAATACTAATGCTACTCTCCTGTGAAAACATCTCTGACATTCTCCTAAACATATGGCTATCATCACTCATTAAATCCCTTAGACTGAATGCACATCATCCTACAGCTCTGTTGCATGAATTATGAGTCCTGATGCATGTTATTTCCCCTTCTGATGTGCAACATCTAGGACAGCAGGGATGACATCCTAGTCATTAATGTCATACTGTACTCTAGGCATGTTGTACACCAAAGAAATATCTCTGTCTGAAGATAGACACAATCTCTCTGAGAACCTGCTTTCTCTAAAATCACTGCTAGGTCCTGAAAAGTAAGAATATCCTGGAGCTTCATCTCCAGTGTATTTAAAATTAGGTTTCACATCAAGTGAGCACATGTTGTTTAAGAATATTCTGTGTTAGCTGAGAGACAACCTACAATGTGGGAAAAATATTTTACAAGCTTTTCCTCAGACAAAGGTCTACTATCTAAAATATATAAAGATTGCAAAAAAAATCAGACACTCCCAAATATAAAGACTCAATTAAAAAATGGGAATCTGAAATGAACAGAGATTTCTCAGACACAAAAGTAAAAGCAGCAAATAAACATATGAAAGAATATTCAACATCACTGGTATTTGAGAGATGCAGATGTAAACAACACTGAGATTCCACCTCACCCCAGAAAGAATGGCTGCTCTCAAGAAATCAACCATGCTGGCAGGGTTGTGGTGAGAAAGGAACCCTTCTCCATTTTAGATGGGAGTACAAATTGATGCAATCACTGTGGAAATCAATATGGAGATACCTCAAAAAACGAGAACCCAGATATTCCTCTGCTGGGTATTTTCTCAAAAGCATTAAAAGAGTCATACCATAGTGATATATGCTCACCCATGTTTATAGTGGCACAGCTTCTAGCAGTTAAACCTTGGAAACAGCCCAATTGCCCATCAACTGGAGACTAAAGAAGATGTGTTTTTTTAATAAAATGGAGTACTACTCAGCCATAAAGAAGGAGAACTAGAGAGACTTATAGATAAGTGGATGCACATTGAGGCCATACTCTTAAGTGAAATAAATAGGACACACGTGCAAATATTGAATAGTTTCTCTGGTGTGAAAATCTAAATGTGCAAATACAGATCAAAATGTATACTTGATATTGTGTAGTAGAAAGAAAAGGTCTAAAGGTGTAGGGAAAGTGGGAGGGGTAGGGGAAAGGAAAGAAAGGAAAAGAAAAATTATGAGGAAAGGAAAAAATGGAAACAGTCTTTGTAAATAGGGAAGGGTGGAGGGGTTGAAGGGAGTGTAGGGGAATGGGGAAAAAACCCAATATATATCATGTAAAGGTAGAAAATCCCAATGATGAATGTAACTGTTTTTTATACCTAAAATGTACCAATAAATTTAATGGAAAAAAAAGAATGCTCTGTGTTAAGCTTCGCGGTGCAGATGGAACTCAGAGACTATGGGGAGGGGAAAAAAGTTCTCATGTGAAATGGACTTTCAGTGGGTCTAGAAAACAAATCAAAAAAGCCAGGTGGAGTTTTATATATCATGATCCCAGATACTCAGTAACCTGAGACAAGCTGGTGAACATTAGCAAGATTTTTTCAAAATAACAAAATGAAAGGAGGTAGTGATAAAGCTCAGGGCAAGGGGCCCTCTTGGTTCAATCTTCATCAATGTCAAAAGGAAAAGAAAACATAAGAAATAAAAGTGAATCTATGAGTATGTATAGTACAAGGGACAGAGAATGTGTCTTTAAAGGGATAATAGTTCTAAGTTGAAAGAATAAATTTTCACCTGATAGAAGGAAGAATTTTGTCATTCACAGAAGAAAGAATTTGATCATAGTTGTTCTCTGAACAATTTTTTTCCATTTCCTGGATGGATGGAGTGAATACAAAATGAACATGGAGAATTTGTCCCGAAGACACACTCTGACCAGTGTCGTTGGTGATCTCATTCTCTGGGCAAGGGGTGCAATCAAAACAACAGGCAGGTTTTCCCTCCTGAGGGGATTTCCTGAATCCAGGATGACAACTCTCAGTGCATACAGAGCGTGGAGTCTGAGGGAAAAACATATCTTGGTGAGGTGTTAGAATTTTTTCCCTTCTTCAGAGTTTGAGAGAAATGTGTATATGCAGAAATAATATATATGTGTGTAGATGTCATATTTAACAACACAATTCTATAAATATTTACAACATATAGTGAAATGAATATGTCCCTTACCAATTTATGGAAACCTTGGTAAAATTGAAAATTGATATTTGTAATTCACATAATTTCCATTTCCTGAGAAAAATATGGGATAGACATTCTACAACCACATGTTTGGTTTTTGGTAATGTAGTGCATTATGATATTTTGTCCAACATACCTCTGTAATTCCTGTGGCCCACTCAATCATATCATCAGACAAAGACAATTGCTGGCCAAGAGGACCATGTGAGCTAAATGCACCCAATTTAACTTTAAGT